TTTTATGCTGCTGGTGGGAGTGTAAACTAATAAAACCACTATGGAAAACAACATGGAGATTCCTTAAAATCTAAAAGTAGGTCTTTTGACTCCTTGGTTCAGTATATTCCTAAGGTTTTTTTGTTTGTTTGTTTGTTTGTTTTTTGTTTTTTTTTGTTTTTGTTTTTTGGTTTTTTTGCAGCTATTGTAAAAGGGGTTGAGTTCTTGATTTGATTCTCCACTTGGTCACTGTTGGTGTATAGAAGAACTACTGATTTGTGTGCAGTAATCTTGTGTCTGGATACTTTGCTGAATTATTTTATCAGTTCTAGGAGCCTTCAGGAGGAGTCCTTAGGGTTTTCGAGGTAAATAATCATATCATCTGCAAATAGTGACAGTTTGACTTCCTCTTTACCAGTTTGGATGCCTTTCTTTCTCTTGTCTTATTACTCTGGCTAGGACTTCCAGTACTATGTTGAAGAGGAGTGGTAAGAGTGGGCATCCTTGTCTTGTTCCAGTTCTCAGAGGGAATGCTTTCAACTTTTTGCCATTCAGTATTATGTTGGCTGTGGGTTTGTCATAGACGGCTTTTATTACAATAAGGTATGTCCCTCATATGCCTATTTTGCTGAGGGTTTTAATCATAAAGAGATGCTAGATTTGTCAAATGCTTTTTCTGCATGGTCATGTTATTTTTGTTTTTAATTCTGTTTATGTGGTGTATCACATTTATTGACTTGTGTATGTTAAACTATCCCTGCATCTGTGGTATGAAACCCACTTAATCATGGTGGATTATCTTTTTGATATGTTGTTGGATTCTGTTAGCTAGTATTTTGTTAAGGATTTTAGCATCTATGTTGATCGAGGATATCAGTTTGTAGTTTTCTTTTTCAGTTATGTCCAGTCTTGGTTTTGGTATTAGAGTGATACTGGCTTCATAGAATGAATTAGGGAGGGTTCCTTCTTTCTCTGTCTTGTGGAATAGTGTCAAAAGGATTGGTATCAATTCTTCTTTGAATGTCTACTGCTGTGAATCCCTCTGGTCCTGGACTTTTTTTTGTTGGTAATTTTTAATTACCATTTCAATCTTGCTGCTCGTTATTGGTCTGTTCAGGATACCTAATTATTCCTGATTTAAGCTAGGAGACTTGTATTTTTCCAGGAATTTATCCATGTCTTCTAGGTTTTCTGATTTACGTGCACAAGGGTGTTCATAGTAGCCTTGAATGATCTTTTGTATTTCAGTGGTGTCAGTTGTAATATCTCCTGTTTTGTTTTTTAGTGGTGTTATTTGGATTTTCTCTCTTCTTGTTTTGGTTAATCTCACCAGTGGTTTATCAATTTTATTTCTCTTTTTAAAGAATCAGCTTTTTGTTTCATTTATCTTTTATATTTTTTTTGTTTCCATTTCATTTAGCTCTGGTCTGATCTTGGTTATTTCCTTTCTTCTGCTGGGTTTGGGTTTGGTTTGTTCTTGCTTCTCTAGTTCCTTGAGGTGTGACCTTAGAGTGTCAGTTTGTGCTCTTTCAGTCTTTTTGATGTAGGCATTTAAGGCTATGAACTTTCCTCTTAGCACTGCCTTTGCTGTATCCCAGTGGTTTTGATAAGTTGTGTCATTATGGTCATTCAGTTCAAAGAATTTTAAAATTTCCATCTTGATTTCATTTTTGACCCAAGGTTCATTCAGGAGCAGGTTATTTAAATTTTCATGTATTTGCATGGTTTTGAAGGTCCCTTTTGGAGTTGATTTCCAGTTTTATTCCATTGTGGTGAGAGAGAGTGCTTGATTTAATTTCAATTTTCTTAAATTTATTGAAGCTCGCTTTATGGCCTATCATATTGTCTATCTTGGAGAAAGTTCCATGCGCTGTGAATAGAACATGTCTTCTGCAGTTGTTGGATGAAATGTTCTGCATACATCTGTTAAATCCATTTGTTCCAAGGTATAGTTTAAGTCCATTGTTTCTTTGTTGACTTTTTGTCTTGATGAACTGTCTAGTGTTGTCAGTGAAGTATTGAAGTCCCCCACTGTTATTGTGTTGCTCTCTACCTTATTTCTTAGGTCTATTAGTAATTGTTTTGTAAAGTACATATATGTGTAGAATTGTGATATTTTTCCTGTTGGACAAGGCCTTTACCATTATGTAATGTCCTTCTTTGTCTCTTTTAACTGCTGTTGCTTTAAAGTTTGCTTTGTCTGATATAAGAATAGCTACCTCTGCTCACTTTTGGTGTCCATTTACATGAAATGCCTTTTTCCACCCCTTTACTTTAAGTTTATTTGAGTCCTTATGTGCTAGGTGAGTCTTCTGAAGGCAGCAGATGGTTCATTGGTGAGTTCTTACCCATTCTGCGGTTCTGTATCTTTTAAGTGGAGCATTTAGGCCTTTGACATTCAATGTTAGTATTGAAATGTGAGGAACGGTTGCATTCATCATGTTCTTTGTTGTCTGTGTACTTTGGTTTTTTTGTTTTTTGTTTTTGCTTTTCTCATGTTTTTGTTTCATAGGTCCTGTGTAATTTGTGCTCAAAGACATTCTGTTTTGATGTGTTTCCAGGATTTGTTTCAAGATTTAGAGCTCCTTTTAGCAGTTTTTGTAGTGGTAATGGCAAATTCTCTTAGCATTCATTTGTCTGAAAAAGACTGTATCTTTCCTTCATATATGATGCTTGGTTTTACTGGTTATAAAATTCTTGGCTGATAATTGTTTTGTTTGAGGAGGCTGAAGATAGAGCCCTAATCCCTTCTACCTTGTAGGGTTTCTGCTGAGAAATCTGCTGTTAATTTGATAGGTTTTCATTTACAGGTTATCTGGTGCTTCTGTCTCACAGCTCTTGAGAGTCTTTCCTTCGTCTTAACTTTGGATAACCTGATGACAATGTGCCTAGGTGAAGATTGTTTTGCTGTGAATTTCCCAGGTGTTCTTTGTGCTTCTTGTATTTGGATATCTAGGCCTCTAGCAAGGCCAGGGAAGTTTTCCTCGATTATTCCCCCAAATATGTTTTCCAGGCTTTTAGAATTCTCCTCTTCCTCAGGTACACTGATTATTCTTAGATTTGGTTGTTTAACATAATCACAGGACTTCTGGAGCTTTCTACTATTTTTTTTTTTTGTCTTTGTTGGATTGAGTTAATTAGAAGACCTTATCTTCGAACTCTGAATTTCTTTCTTCTACTTGTTCAGTTTCTATTACTGAGACTTCCAGAACATTTTGCATTTCTAAAAGGGGTGTCCAATTTCCTGAATTTTTGATGTTTTTTTTCTTTAAGCTATTTCGTTGACTATTTCTCCCTTCACTTTTTGTATCATATTTTGGATTCCTTGCATTGGGCTTTGCCTTTCTCTGGTCCCTCCCTGATTAGCTTAATAACTAACTTTCCTGACTGTTTCAGGTAAATCAGGGATTTCTTCTTGGTTTGGATCCATTACTGGTGAACTAGTGCGATTTTTCTACCAAGCTTTATGAAATACTATTCACTTTCAGAATCTGTCCTGTACCCAGGTTCTAACACTAATTTTCTGCTTCCCTCATATACCATCTCAAGACTGCTATCTTTGGCCTCCTGTATTTCCAAGCTTCTTTTTTTTATCTCCCCAGAGGTTAAGGCTTTCATCCATCAGCTCTCTGACTTGTTCTCAGTATTTCCCTACTCAGCAAGGGGACTCTCTTCTTAGAGGTGAACTCTCATTGATATTATCCATGTTCTGTATTACAAAGACATTTCTTTATTCTTTCTTCTATGAAATTGTCCCTTGAGTTTCCTCGTTTTTTTTTTTTTTTTAGATAGATTCTCGCTCTGTCACCCAGGCTGGAGTGCAGTGGCACATTCTTGGCTCACTGCAACCTCCACCTTGAAGGTGCAAGCAATTCTTCTGCCTCAGCCTCCCGAGTAGCTGGGATTACAGGTTCCTGCCACCACACCTGGCTAATTTTTGTATTTTTAGTAGAGATGAGGTTTCACCATGTTGGCCTGGCTGGTTTGGAACTCCTGACCTTAAGTGATCTGTCCACCTCAGCCTCCCAAAGTGCTGGGATTACAGGCATGAGCCACCATGTCTGGCCTGAGTTTCCTCTTTGGCTTAGGCTCTGAAGCTGACTGCGCTGGTCCTGGATTTTTATTTCCTGACTTATATGCAAATACAAATGTTTAATATTCTGCCTCTTAGTTACACTGTAGGCATGGACTATAGGTTATTTTACTTGCCTTACTTGTTAATTTGCATGGATTTTTGGAGACTATGTGGATAGATTAAATTTAGGTGTCTATTGTCATACTAAAGCAGTGTTTCTAACCTTTATTTCCTCGCTCCCCTAAGAAGCCTTTATAGACATTTTAGTTCCTAATTATCCCCCACCCCCCATGAAAATTTAACACCACAGATATGTCATATATCTGTTTAAGTACTATGGCCACAAACTATTGTAATATCTGATATATTTTTCTCCTAAGAACCAGTTTTACCCCCTTGAGAGCAGTATCACTGTCAATGAGAATATATGTTCTGAAAGTATCTTGAATTTTATTTTCACTGTTGTACTGCCAAATCCTGCAAGTAGTATTTTACTTATACTTTAACACATGTATGAGTAATATTGGTCTATAATTTCCCTCCCTCACCTCCTCAGTATTATATTTATTCTGTAGTTTTGTAGGCAAGTAGGAGCTACTGAAGGGTTTTATGCATAGGAATAATCAATTTTTTTTAAAGAGGAATACTTCCCTTTACATACTATGGAAAATAAATAGAAGATGAGACTGGTGGCATAGGTTTTTTAAAGATGCTGTTGTAATAACATAGGTATTAGTTAATGCAGCAGGAAATTCAAGAAGTATTTGGAAATAGAATGAGCAGAAATTGATAATCATATGCATGCAATAGGTAAGGGAGAAGAAATAGCCCAGCCTTACTCTCAAGCTTTTAACTTTTGTTATAATTTGACCATTAGCTTCAGCTATATTATTTAATTCTGAAACAGTAATTCTTTCATTTAATTAAATTATGCTTTGCCTTACAGAAAGTGGCAAGGTTACCATTCAAGAATTTATGACTAAATTCTCCGATATATTGACAATTCCTAAACCTGCAGGTAAGTTTTATTTAATATGTAATTATTGCCCAGATCTAGAAAGGCAAGCAGTGGTTTATGTTAAAAACAATACAGGATTCAATAGTTAAAGCACAGGTAAGTAAGAAGCAATACAATATGAATATGAAACAACACAAGAGTAGATTACATAACTTCTATTTGAATTCTAAGGCAAATATTGCTAAACTTAACCCAAACTCAAAATTTTAGGTAGTCTTACTTGGTAGTGCTAGAAAATTACTAGATTATATATTATTCTTTGAGGTTACTCAGTATGCATATTTGACTTCTGAAATTACTAGAAAATAATTTTTAAAACTTTTGACAAATCCAGTAGAATTTTTATCACTATCTGTTATGTTCTTACATATCTTCAGCAACTCTCTTGATCTCATTTTTTAAACATCCATGCTTTTTGAGGTGTAATGTACATATAGCAAAATTCACCCTTTTTAGGCATACAGTTCTTTGGATTCTTAAAAATAATATAATGTAACCCTTACTATATATAACATATAGACTATTTTACCCCCTGGAAGTCTCTTATGCCCTTTTGGTAATCCATTTCTTCCTCTACCCTGAGCCCCTGGCAACTACTGATTAATTCTTTGTCCCTATAGTTTTGCCTTTTGTGGAATATCATGTAAATGATTAAATATGAAGTGGTTTGAGTTGGGCAGTCATTGCATACATATACCTTGAATGTATATGTACGTATACATTCATATGAGAGTATAAACAAAGTATATACTCTCATTTGTACTCTCATTTATACTACCAGCTCTTCCTAGAAAAAATGGATTCTGATTAGTTCTGGTTGCACTATTACAAATTTCAAATAAAGCTTTATTTGAGTACCCCCAAAGCTGAAGTACTGATCCCTTTGGCTGTTTGTTTCCCACTAAGTTGTGTGTGTGTGTGTGTGTGTGTAACCAACATTTTGTTGAACCAACAATGTACCATTAGTAAAGCTGCTATGCAAAATTATCCCTTAGGTCTGTTCTAAACTTACAGTTTAACTGATTTTATTGTCCTCACCTAAGGTTATTCAATGCATATATGGGAAGAAAATACTAGGACATTAAATCAAGATGGTTACTTTTGCTATTTTGCTGAAGATTCATCATAAATATAAATCAAGAAGTTAATCTACATGTTAGAAGTGTTTTTTAAAAATTTTTAAATTGACATATAATTGTACATATTTATGGGGTACGATGTGCTGTTTCATTTATACATTGTATAATAATCAAATCAGTGTAATTAGCAACCCATTGTGAACCCCAAATGTCAGAAACAGGATTCAATTAATTTAGAAAGTTTATTTTTGCTAAGGTTAAGGGCATGCCCATGACACAGACTCAAGAGGTCCTGACATATGTGCCCAAGGTGGTTGGGGCACAGCTTGGTTTTATACATTTTAGGGAGACATGAAATATCAATCAATACATGTAAGATGTACATTGGTTTGGTCCAGAAGGGCAGGGGGAAGACAACTTGAAGTGGGGAATTTCCTTATGGGCAAATTGTGAGGGAGTTATGTAGCTGCTGCTGCTTCTTTTTTTTAATCTCTGTTGCTATCTCCTTTAGGAATAGAATGGGAGGCAGGTTTGCCTGACACAGTTCCCAGCTTGACTTTTCCTTTTGGCTTAGTGATTTTGGGATACCGAGATTTATTTTCCTTTCACACCATCAGCTCAAATGTTTATCATTTCTTTGTAGTGAGAACATTGAATACATTATTAACTATAGTTAACTATAGTTAATATTGTGAATACATTATTAACTACAGTTTATTTTTTAAGTGGACAAATACAAATTGTATGTACTGTGTATTGCATTATTCAAAATATGTACATAAATTGTGGAATGGCTAAATTGAACTAATTAACATGTTTTACCTCACATACCTATTTTTGTGATGAGAACACTTAAAATCTTTTAGCAATTTTCAAAAATATTTTACGTTATTATTAACTGTAGTCACCATGTTATATGACAGAGCTCTTAACCTTATTGATTTTCTAATATTTTGTTAAAGATTTTTGAGTATATGTTTATGAGGGATATTGGTCTATAGTTTTTTTTTAGTGTCTTTTCCAGATTTTTTTGTTAGTGTTATACTGGCTTCATAAAATGAGTTAGGAAGTCTTCCCTCCCTCTTTTATTTCTGGTAGAGTTTGTGTATTAGTCTGCTCTAATGCTGCTAATAAAGAAATACCTGAGACTGGGTAACTTATAAAAGAAAGAGGTTTAACTGAGTCCCAGTTCCACGTGGCTGGGGAGGCCTCACAATCATGGTGGAAGGCGAATGAGGAGCAAAGTTGCCTCTTACATGGCAGCAGGCAAGAGAGCTCGTGCAGGGGAACTCCCGTTTATAAAGCCATCAGATCTCATGAGACTTATTCACTTATGGGGACACTGCCCCCATGATTTGATTATCTCCACCGGGCCCCGCCCTTGACACGTGAGGATTATTACAATTCAAAGTGAGATTTGGGTGGGGACACAGCCAAACCATATCAGTTTATGATTATGATTATGATTATTGTTTTCATTAAATGTTTGGTAGAATTCACCGTCTATTCCTGAAAATTTAAAATATTGAGCTCTATTTATTCAATGGATATAAAGCTGTTTAGAGCCTCCCTGTTCTAAATCTTTCTGTAGTTGTCAATATATCTTTCTGTAAGTATCATAAAGAAGAAATGTACTTTCTATAAGTGGAACTGTGTCTTGTCAAAATTTGTTTATTTTATGTAATTTGTCAGGTTTATTGTCATAAAGTTGTTCATAATATCCCCTTATTATCCTTTTAATGTCTATAGTGTGATGTCTTATTTTTCATTCCTGATGTTTGTAATTTCTGTTTTCTCTTTTTTGTTTGTAACCAGTATTGCTAGGGGGTTATTAAATTTATTAATAATTTTACACAAATGGTGATTTTGTTAATTTTTGTTAATTTTTCTCTTTTGTTTTTCTTTTTCATTGGTTTATATTTTTATTTTTACTATCATATGGTCTTTGCTTACTTTGGGCTTCGTTTACCCTTCTTTGCTAGCTTGCTAAGATAGACGCTTAGATAACTGATTTTTATTCTTTTCTAACATTTAAAACTGCAAATTTTCCCCTAATATGTCTTTCATTGCATCTCACAAACGTTGTTATGTTGTGCTTTGTCATTTACTAAAATATTTTCTAATTTACCTAATAATTTTTTCTTTGAAGTATAGGTTATTTAGAAATGTAGTCTTTAATTTCCAAATATTGGGACATTTTCTAGATATCTTAATTATTATTGATTTCTACTTTATTTATTTGTTTTAGGGAAAGGGTCTTGCTTGTTGCTCAGGCTGGAGTGCAGGTGGCATGATCATGGCTTACTGCAGCCTCCAACTCTTGGGCTCAAGCAACCTCTTGCCTTAGCCTTGCAAGTAACTGGGACTACAGGCATACACCACCACGCTTGGCTAATTTTAAACATTTTTTCTCTAGAGATGGGGTCTCATTTTGTGTTCCAGGCTGGTCTTGAGCTCCTGGGCTCAAGCATTTCTCCTGCCTTGGCTTCCCCAAGTGTTGGGATTATAGGTGTGAGCCACTGTGCCAAGACTGATTTCCAATTTAATACATTTGGCCAGAGAATACATTTTGCATGACTTAAATTCTTAAATTAATTAAGATTTATTTATAGCCCTGGTTATGGTCTATCTAAGTGAATGTTCCATGTGTACCTGAAAGAATGTGCATTCTGCACTTGTTAGGTCGCATTCTGTAAATATCAGTTAGGTTACAATGTTTGCTAAATTGGTCTGGTCTTCTAATTCTTGCTGTTTTTTTATTCTACTTGCTCAATTAGTTACTGATAGCAAGGTGTTAAAACCCCCAGTTCTCACTGTAGAATCATTTATTCCTCCCTTTAATTTTGTCAGTTTTTGCTTTATTTACTTTGAAGGCTTTGTTCAGTGTATACAAATGTGGTATTGTTACAAAATTTGTGTATATGACCTTATGAAATATATTTTGTCTATTGCTCTTTTTTATCTTATTTTTATTGCAGTCTTCCTTTCCCCAAATTTTTTCACTTACATTTGTATTTTTTTGGTATCTATTTCTTGTCAGTTAACTTATTTTGGCAACAGAGAAGGATATAAATAAATGCAAATAAATAATATTGTCATTTTTCTTAAGTGTAATTTCATATGTTGGGAAATTTTAACCACCTATCTTTAAAATATAAAGGAGAAACATGAAACTTTCTTTCTAACTGAAAGTGATTATCTCTCCCCAGAAGATAAATTTTACAACAACAACATTCACAAAAATGATGTTACAACCATTTCTGGTCTCCAGAAAAATTTAAATGCCATGGGAATCTATCTGACAGATGATAAAATACAGAAAACTTTGGATAATACTAATCCTAATGGTGAGTAATTATTTCACTTTAAATTAACAAAGTTGGAGTATGTCAGAAGAAACTTTAAATGCCCAAGGAAATTATCTATCTTTTAATTGATGAGTTTGTATTGAAGGAACTTATTTTCAAAGGTATATGTCTGGCCACTTTTATTTTGAATCTGATGTGCATATTGGATACAACACAAGATAATTCATTCCTCCACTTTATTTTCATGTTTTATAGCTCTGGTTTTATAACATCAAATCCATTTTAACAACAGTATCTAAATTGTTACTTCTTTTCTTTTTAAAGATGAAGTGGTGCATTTTAAGGATTTTATCAGAGAATTGGCTAACACTGATGAATTTATTGAATGCCAAAGTAAGTATGAAATTTGACGGAATGTGAACAGAAACTTCATGTCTCTAGATTGGTATGTGTAGTTGTGTGTGTATACGTGTGTGTGTGTGTGTGTGTGTTTAACTTTTTTTTTTTTGAGACAGAGTTTCACCCAGGCTGGAGTACAGTGGCATGACCTTGGCTCACTGCAACCTCCACCTCCCGGGTTCAAGCAGTTTTCCTGCCTCAGCCTCCCGAGTAGCCAGGATTACAGGTGTGTACCTGGCTAGTTTTTTATGTTTTTTAGTAGAGATGGGATTTCACCACATTGGTCAGGCTGGTCTCAAACTCCTGGCCTCAAGTGATCTGCCTGCCTCTGCCTCCCAAAGTGCTGGGATTACAGGCATTAGCCACCATGCTTGGCTATGTATTTAACTTTTAATAAAACTCTGCCAAGGCCCTTTTGTATTTTGTCATTTAAACAGTATAGAAATATATATATTTAAAACCCTAGGTTTTCAATTTGTGCATACATATTTTTCATAATATCATTAATTAAAAAATTATCTGTGTTTCTTTCTCACTTTTCATGGATTCTGTTAAGTTGCATTTTTTTCTTTATTAGTTTTGTCCGAGGTTTATCTATCTTATGAAAGTAATCTGGTTTTGGTTTCTTTAATCACCTCTGGTGTCATTTTCTTTTATCTTTCTTCTTTATTTCTTCTTATATATTTGGGCTTACTCCTTTGGTCTTTGTCAAAAACTTTAGCTAAGGGCTTAACTCAGCTTTTTAAAGTCTATTTTGAAATTTCAGCACAATGAGACATTAAAACAACCTTGGAACACAAACATTGAAATTGTGAATTGAAATATTAAGACTGGCGTTTTGAATGGGTCTTAAGTGTATTATCTCTAAATTAGTCTTTAATTTGAATGCAGTTTCAATCAATATTCCGGGAAAATTTTGGTGGGAACCAAATTTTAGATACATTGTAGATGTATTTACTTTGAGAAAATAATTCTGATATTTATTTGAAAGACAGACTCTTTGAAAAGCAATAATGATGGGGAAGTTGCCTTACCACACCAGATAGAAGGACATATTATAATGCTTTTGTAGCAGTGTTACTAATAGACCAATGCATCGCAATATAGTATCTGCAGAGACTCATGTATGTGAGAACTTGGCATACGATAGAGATATCATCAATTGATGGGGGAATAGATGTGTTATTTAATACCTTATTTGGGAAATTGCCACACTTTATGGAGGAAAATAAAATTGAATTCATACTTTATGCCATACACAAAAATAATCTTCAAATAAATTAAATAGATGTTAACGTGAATCTGAAAGTAAAACTACAAAACTGGTGGAGGAAATTATTGGAGAAAATATTGTGCCTTGTGGTTGCAAAGGATTTCTTAAATGGGACTTCTAAAATCACAATCATAGGGTAGAAAAAGATTTGATTATATTAAAATTAAAGATTTCTGTTTAATGAAGGTCTCTAAAGAAATGACGGGATATGTAACAGACTGGAAGAAGATAATTGCAACTTTTAGAGCTAACAAAAGATTAATATTTAAAATATATATAAAGAAATTCTACAAATAAGCAATAGATAAGTAAAAACCCATTGGAAAAATGAGTTAAGGATATAAGAAGGCAGTATACAAAAGGAGAAACACAAATGGCTCGTATGTATGTGAAGAGAGCATTAGGAATACTCCTGAATAGCTGGTGGGTAGGTAAAACAGTATTGCCACTCAGAATAGCATTCTAGCAGTACTTAGCGAAATTAAAAACATGCGTTCCCATCACCCAGTAATTCAGTTCATAAGTAATTAGCCCAGAGAAAGTTTCTTGTTAGTGACATGTATAAGGATGCTCATTGCAACATTATTTGAGAGAGGGAAAGATGAATATAACTTAGTTGTCCATTACTAAGGGAATGGTTCAATAAAATGTGGTCTCTACGTACAGTAAATCAGAAACAATAAACTGGTTGTACCATAGATATATTTCAGTAATATATGGTTCAGTGAAGAAAGGGAAGAAATAGAATAAACTTATAGTTCAAAATGCTTTATGTAAACTGATTTATATGAGTGCACATTAGACAAACAACATTGTATTTTTTCAGCTAAACACATAAATCTAAGTAATTAGATGAGATAGATTGAATAGAAATATATTAAATACACTGCAGTTGCTACTTATGAAGGAATAAAATTGGAGATAGTAGTTAAAGGAGAAAAATAGTAAAACAAGCAGAGGCCCTTTGAAGATGAGTGATGACAAAACACCATGAATCCAAGAGTATGATCAACTCAATTATGTATACTAGAACTCTTTACTAATATGAAAAAATTAAATTGACAAGTTAGATAAGATTAAACAATGTATATATTTATACACAGAGATAAACATAGAAAGAATTTGAGATTTAAATGACAATAAGCCTGATTTAAGAAACATATAGCAGTTCATATTCCAAAAACATTGAATACACATTTTCTAATGCCTATTTTGTATTCACACAAATATATGATATATTTAAGTTACAAAGAAAAATGTCAATGAATTCTGAAAATCAGAAGTTATTCAGATCACGTATTCTGACCACCATGTAGTAATATATTAAAATCATTTATGAAGGAATGTGGAAAACATTTTGATCTGAAGATTAAAAGCAGTTTTTTAAAAAGCAAAAAAAGCAGATGCTCCACTAAATAATTATTTGGTTAAAGAATAAAGTCTGAAATTAAACATTATTTAGAAATGGATGAGAATGAAAGCACTATATGTCAAAACATGTAAAGTATGACCAAAACAGTCTTACAGGAAATCTTATAGCTTTAAATGCTTTTATTAGAAAATGAGAAATACTGAAAATTATCTCAGTTGTTCAACTCACGAAGCTAAACAGCAACGTAAACTACAACAGCAAAACAGTCCCTGCAAAAAGCAGTAGTTAGAAACTAATCAATTTGAAAGCAGGAGTAACTGAAATAGAACATATGCACAAAAACAAATTATTCATTTAACCAAAAACTGGGTCTTGAAAAAGACTAATAAAATAAAGAACTCTTTAGGAATTATGATGAAGGAAAATAAATAGAGATGGCATAAATAAGAAGATAGTGAAAAGTGTGGATACAGAGATTTAAAAGTATTTGAATAACACTTAAAATTAAGTTAATAAAACATCAGTTTATGGACATCTCATCAACAGCACTGTCATTCTTTCCAAACATGTAGATAAGAAGAGCAAGGGCTACTTTTTAAATTAAAAAATAATTTATGGCACCATCTTAATTGTGATCATTTTTCTGTTTTGTTGTTGTTTAGTTTTTTGAGTTGAACACTTTAAAAATATTTGTTTATTGTTTTCTCATATAAACATTTAACCTATAAATTTTGTAGAGCTTTCCATTTAGAAGATATTTCAGAGGCAAAAAGGATTGGATATCCTACAAAGCGAATATACTTCACACAAATCAGGTTGCTATGTGCTTATATGGATAGAGTAAGTACTGTGACACTTTCTCATTAATATGTATATATACACACATAGAAATAGAAGATGCATGGAATATTATTAATAGTGTCTGCGATGGGAAAGTTGACATTGAAGACCTTTTATCCACTTTGAAGAGCCTGGAGAAACCTTTAGATGAAGAACAATTTAAGGTCTTATCAAACAGTGCAACAGATGGTGAGTACTTCCTTTACTTCTCAGCTCTCCTGTTTAGAGTACACATGTTTGCACAGGCTAAATTTTAAAAAAGTGGTAGTAATGCTGTATACTTAAAAAGGTTATATGGAACTAGTATATACATATATTGCTCATTGTGAATTGTCACAACCCTTTTGGAAAGTGTATGGAAGTTCTTTATTTGGTTAAGACAGACATAATTTTGTTATTCATGTTTTAAAACCAGATGTTCATATATTGGAGTATAAAGGCCAAATAATACCTACGGTAGAGCCCTACTCTTCCTTTTCCCCAACCCGGTATTCTAGAGAGAAGATGCTTCTTATATACAGAGTTCCACGGACTTTTGGGTTCTCTGGTTAGGTTAAGAACATAACCTTAGACACCCTACTATTTATTGTTGGATTAGCATAAATTTTAGACTAGATGGAGTGTAAAAACAGCAGTAGATTCAGCAAATGATTTCTGGGATGTCTAGAAGGCATCCATTGCATGGTTCTAACCATTTCCTTGCTTTCTTTTCTATAGTTTACTATGTTCATATCCCTAAAAGATATATAGTGGAGTTTTGCTTTTTGTACTTTATATAAATGGAATAATACAGTATATATTTTTTATACTTTGCTTTTAGCTCAGTATTGTGAAATTTATCCAGACAGGTGCATTGTAGCTGTGGTTCATTCCCTTTTTTTTTTTTATTACCATGACTAGCTAATTTTTGTATTTTCACTAGAGACAGGGTTTCACTATGTTGGCCAGGCTGGTCTCGAACTCCTGACCTCAAGTGGTCTGCCCACATCGGCCTACCAAATTGATGGGATTACAGCAGTGAGCCACTGTGCCCAGTTAACTTTTAGATTTGAAGAGACAAAGAGAATAACTAAATGCAATGTGAACTTTTGACAGAAACAGCTGTAATAGATGTTTGGGGGACAATTAACAAAAATATTTTTAAATATGAACTGGATGTAACATGACACTAAGGGATTATTGTTAATTCTCTTAGGTGTGAGTGTGCTGTGTATTTATCAACAATGTCGCATAAGACAATATCCTTATTCTTAGAAGATTCATTGCATGCTGCAGTGTTTAGGGATAATAAGTTACGATGTCCACCATTTACAGTCCAAATACGTTGAGGCAAGGAAAACATATTTATGCATACACTCACACATACATATGGAAAGACAGTATGAGAGAGAAAAAGTAAACTATGGCGAAATGTTAACTCTTATTTCATGTAAGTGGTGGTGGTTCGTTGTGCTATTCTTTCAATGTTTCTGCATGTTTGGCACATTTTATTGTAAAATGTTGGGGAAAAAAACATAGTGCTGAGTAGTATGAAATACCTTAAATGTGAGGGAAAGTAATAAGGAGATAGATGAATATAAGGCACTCATTTGGCCTTCCCATTATTCACTACTAATTTCATTGTGAATCCTGCAACCTCTCTAATACATAGATTCCATTTGATTTTTGAAAAACAGATTTATCGTTATTTAACCAGATAATCAACCATATTGTTGAGAAATGTATCCCATACTCTCTTAGAGTTTATAAACTTAGTGGGGAAGATGTAATTACATGCCAAAAATGTCAAGGAAAAGATGTGCTATCTATATGAGGAATTTAGTCAACTGTTGTCTGATATCTGTCTGAGATTAAATGACAACATATAAATGAAATGTTTTGTATGATGCCTGGTACCAAAATAAAAGCTCTCAATAAACGTTAGCTATCATTATCATTATTAGGAATAATATTGAGATATTACTTTTTAATCCTATGTATTGGTCAAAATATGTCAATGATTGACCCAAGTTTGCATCCACTGATCAGTTAATTGGTTTAAAAGAAAGGATCCTAATTTTAATTCCATGGTCAATTTCATTTATATATTGATTCAACGAATTTTTTCTCTTTATGTAGAAAAATATAATCTTGAATGGGCTTTAGCACATCCTCCTAAATCCTAATGCGCAGTTTATGAAAATGCGTATGTGTACTCTGTGGAAATAAAAGATCCATAGCTTTTCTCAACTTCCCAATGTGTATGCGTCTGAAAAAAAAAGAAATTAGAGATTTTGTTTTAGAGTCTCTACATTTTCCTCACAGCCTGTGTCTTTCTGATTAGGGAAGGTTGATATAAAAAACCTGAAGACTGTTCTAGACAACATGGGAATCAAGCTCACAGATAAAGAACTTGAAGATCTGACACAAAGCCTGCCAGTCGGTGGTGAGCATGCTAGATATCACTGGTTTCTGAGTTTTGTGTTTTATGTACTTTTAGCATTAGAAGGAAAAGGAAAAAAGAACTTTTCATAATGCAAATGGCAAGATTAAATAAGACAGTCAGAGTAACAAAGTAGGGAATGTAGTATTCTGAATACTAGCGGCATGGTCAATACAAGAGCCTTCCAAATTCTGAGGACGAGAAAGCTGACCCCTAGGAAAAAGCCACTTTTGAATTCCATCTTTCCATTATCAAATGTAAGATTTGCTGTTTTATGGGTTATAAAGTCAAATTCACATTTTCTAAATAAGTTTATTTTCAATATTTATAATTGTTTCTTCATCTTCGTAACATATTCTGAGTAAATATTTATCAAATGACTAAAGTGCTTAATAAAATGCCCAGTATACTTCGTAAGTGCTGCTACTAGGTGTTATAATCATAGGAAGGAGGAGAGTGTTCTTGTGATATAACATGTTATGAGCTTCAAATTATGCCTTTGTGTTATAGCTGATAATAAAGTGGCTCTGAAAGCATTGGAGGATGAAGTGAAAGCTTTTACTGGTAAGAATTTGTTACACATGATTTGCAATAAATGACGATTTACACTGAAATTTTTAATAGTATTTTTCTAATATTCTATTGGTGGCTTATCAATTCACATATTTTCAATATTTTGATAAAATATCTGCCTTTGCTAACAGATTAACATTATCTGCGTTTTATCAGTCAAAACAAAAGAACTGTATCTTGATAACATCTTACATTCATTAGTACTGTTTTCCAATAAAATGATTTCACCAGTATTTATAGACCCAAATAACTAGATGGACACAGTGAAAACAGGGTGAAGCATTAAAAGGATCAAAGTAATGAGTTCATTGCAAGCATCTAACCACCTAGTTTTACAAAAATAAAATATGTCATACTTGTTTTTTGACTTTTGCTTTCAATTACACTTTAAGTTGTGGGGTACATGTGCACAACGTGCAGGCTTGTTACATATGTATACATGTGCCGTGTTGGTTTGCTGCACCCATTAACTCGTCATTTCCATTAGGTATTTCTCCTAATGCTATCCCTCCCCCATCCCCCCACATCACGACTGGCCCCGGGGTGTGATGGGCCCTGGGGTGTGATGTTCCCCGCCCTGTGTCCAAGTGTTCTCATTGTTCAGTTCCCACCGATGAGTGAGAACACGCGGTGTTTGGTTTTCTGTCCTTGCCATAGTTTGCTCAGAATGATGGATTCCAGCTTCATCCGTGTTGCTGCAAAGGACACGAACTCATCCTTTTTTTATGGCTGCATAGTATTCCATGGTGTACATGTGCCACATTTTCTTAATCCAGTCTACCACTGATGGACGTTGGGGTTGGTTCCAAGTCTTTGCTATTGTGAATAGTGCCACAATAAACATACGTGTGTGTGTGTGTCTTTATAGTAGCATGATATATAATCCTTTGGGTGTATACCCAGTGATGGGATTGCTGGGTCCAGTGGTATTTCTCGTTCTGGATCCTTGAGGAATCGCCACACTGTCTTCCACAATGGTGGAACTAGTTTACACTCCCGCCAACAGTGTAAAAGCCTTCCTATTTCTCCACATCCTCGCCAGCAGCTGCCGTTTCCTTACTTTTTAATGATCGCCATTCTAACTGGTGTGAGATGCTATCTCGTTGTGCTTTTGCTTTGCATTTCTCTGATGACCAGTGGTGATGAGCACTTTTTCACGTGTCTGTTGGCTGCATTAATGTCTTCTTTTGAAAAGTGTCTGTTCATATCCTTTGCCCACTTTTTGATGGGGTTGTTTGATTTTTTCTTGTAAATTTGTTTAAGTTCTTTGTAGATTCTGGATATTAGCCCTCTGTCAGAAGGGTAGATTGCAAAAATTGTCTCCCATTCTGTAGGTTGCCTGTTCACTCTGATGGTAGTTTCCTTTGCTGTGCAGAAACTCTTTAGTGTAATTAGACCCCATGTGTCTATTTTGGCTTTTGTTGCCATTGCTTTTGGTGTTTTAGTCATGAAGTCCTTGCCCATGCCTATGTCCTGAATGATATTGGCTAGGTTTTCTTCTAGGGTTTTTATGCTTTTCGGTCTAACATTTAAGTCTGTAATCCACCTTGAATTCATTTTTGTTTAAGGCGTAAGGAAGGGATCCCATTTCAGCTTTCTACATATGGCTAGCCAGTTTTCCCGGCACCATTTATTAAATAGGGAATCCTTTTCCCGTTTCCTGTTTTTGTCAGGTCTGTCAAAGATGAGATGGTTGTAGATGTGTGGTGTTTTTTCTGAGGCCTCTGTTCTGTTCCATTGGTCTATATCTCTGTTTTGGTACCCGTACCATGCTATTTTGGTTACTGTAGCCTTGTAGTGTAGTTTGAAGTCAGGTAGCATGATGCCTCCCGCTTTGTTCTTTTTGCTTAGGATTGTCTTGGCAATGCACGCTCTTTTTTGGTTCCATGTGAACTTTAAGGTAGCTTTTCCCAATTCCGTGAAGAAAGTCATCGGTAGCTTGCTGGGATGGCATTGAATCTATAAATCACCTTGGGCAGTATGGCCATTTTCACGATATTGATTCTTCCCATCCATGAGCATGGAATGTTCTTCCATTTGGTTGTGTCCTCTTTTACTTTGTTGAGCAGTGCTTTGTAGTTCTCCTTGAAGAGGTCCTTCACATCTCTGGTAAGTTGGATTCCTAGGTATTTTATTCTCTTTGAAGCAATTGTGAATGGGAGTTCACTCATGATTTGGCTCTCTGTTTGTCTCTTATTGGCGTATAAGAATGCTTGTGATTTTTGCACATTGATTTTGTATCCTGAGACTTTGCTGAAGTTGCTTGTCAGCTTAAGGAGATTTTGGGCCGAGACGATGGGGCTTTCTGTATATACAGTCATGTCATCTGCAAACAGGGACACTTTGACATCCTTTTTTCCTAATTGACACCCTTTATTTCTTTCTCCTGCCTGATTGCCCTGGCCAGAACTTCCAACAATATGTTGAATAGGAGACACTGTGTTGAATAGGAGTGGTGAGAGAGGGCAGCCCAGTCTTGTGCCGGTTTTGAAAGGGAATGCTTCCAGTTTTTGCCCATTCAGTATGATACTGGCCGTGGGTTTGTGATAAATAGCTCATATTATTTTGAGATACGTTCTATCAATACCTAGTTTACTGAGAGTTTTTAGCATGAAGGACTGTTGAATTTTGTTGAAGGCCTTTTCTCCGTGTGTTGAGATAATCGTGTGTTTTTTGTCTTTGGTTCTGTTTATGTGATGGATTACGTTTATTGATTTGCGTACGTTGAAGCAGCCTTGCATCCCAGGGATGAAGCCAACTTGATCTTGGTGGTTAAGCCTTTTGATGTGCTGCTGGATTCGGTTTGCCAGTATTTTATGGAGGGTTTTTGCATCGATGTTCATCAGGGCTATTGGTCTAAAATTCTCTTTTCTTGTTGTGTCTCTGCCAGGCGTTGGTATCAGGATGATACTGGCCTCATAAAATGAGTTAGGGAGGATTCCCTCTTTTTCTATTGATTGGAATAGTTTC